AGTAGTATTTTTTCCTCTTCAACCAAGGTGGGGTCCCTGTTTGGGCCATTTAAAACTTGGAGTCTTCGTCTGATTTCTTTCTCCCTCCTTACTTTGTTGGCCCTGTCCTTGATTGACCAGCTACGCAAGTCCTCCCTGCATTTGTAGAGAATCTCATGCATTTTACCCCCATTGTTCCAGTTACTGTCGATGATCTGACTTCATTCCCCATTTTCTTTCCATCTTTTATCAAATCGGAATGGTGTATTCCTGTCCTGCTTCTTCGGGTGTAAATCAATCCTGATAGGGCAGTGGTCAGAATTCACAAATTCTTCATGATACATAGAGGCCCCTCCAAAACTGATCCTCCATGAAGCTGAGCAGAGCCCCCTGTCAAGCCTTTCTCTTATCAAGTCGGATCCCTGTTGGTTATTGGTCCAAGTGAAAACCTGACCTGAGAATCCCAGATCGATCAAAGCATTCTGAGAGATGAAATACTTGAACGGATCAACGTTTTCATTCCTAAGGGGGCACCGCCCCTGTTTTTCAAAAGGTTGAAGTGCAACATTCAGATCCCCTACGATCAACCAACTATCTTCCGGTGAATCCCTAAGGGTCGTAAGTCGATCCCAAAGGTTCCTCCTCTCCACCGCCGTGGTGGGGGCATGGACAAAAGTACAGTAGAATTCTACCCCTTCCTTACAAATTCTAACATCCATATAGGATTTACACACATCCACTACTCGGACCTCTACTTCTTCATTCCACCAGAGTGCCAATCCACTTCCTTCAGATGCAGGGCTAACATATTTTTAGAAATCAAACTTCATGGCTCTTCTTTTTTCCTCCATGAAAGGATCTTCCTTCCTGGTCTCCATTAGAAAAAGCACAGAAAGGCCATACTGGCGCCAGAGCCTTGCACAGTAGTTCCTTGTAAGGGATTGGCCAAATCCCCTACAGTTCCAGCTGAGGATCCTCATTCCTGATTAGGTGGCTTCAGGCGTGCCACCGCTGCCCTCGGAGAGATCGATTCGCCTTCTCCGGACTGGTTCCCTTCTGTTGTCAGCTCTGCCATACTTCTCCTCCTTATAGTGTTCCTTCTCCTCTGGTAGGTCTTCCTGTGTTCCCCTGGAACGAAAGACAAGGAATCAAAAGAAATGTTAGTTGAAACCTCCAGCTGCGGGAGTGGGTTGCTTGGGCTTGAGGAATCCTCCGGTTTTCTTTTCTTCTCCGGCCTGGGCCTGATCTCCTCTGACCCTGTGACTCTTTCCTTCTGTTGGGTTGGGTTGATGATCTGTTCCGGTGGGCTATTCCTCGGGTCTGTTGTGGGCTGCAGTGGTGCAGGGCTCTGGGCGTCCACCGTTGCATAATATGGGCTTGCCAGGGATAGGCTTCGGCCCATTTCGAATAGGCCCGCTGCTTTCTCCTTGTTGCTTCCCCCTTCCCCCAGGTCAAGGGATCTCTGCATTGCCCTTGCTGTAGCTTCCATCTCCATCTCCAGAAAGTTGTTTGGGCTATTCGAGGTAGGTACCAAGGTCGAGGTTGGTACTATGACCTCTCCTCGCTGGGTCCAGGCCGTTCCTCTCACTGCTGCAGGCAGAGTCAACGCTGCGAACCCTGGTGGGCTCGAGGAGGACGATTGTCCAGTCAGGTGCAGGAGGGTACCGTCCCCTCGGGATCCGTGAATCATGCCTGCTGAGTGGCCGGTTAGAGTTGGTCGCCGCGCCCTTGCCATCTTCTCCCTGAAAGAAGCCGGAGGGGTGTTCGCCGGCGAGTCATGGCCCGCTTTCGGAGCAGCAGTATACACTTCCGACGGGTCGATGCTCAGTCCTCGTCTCCGGTGGTCTTCCCGGTGTAGACAGTTGTGGATCAGGTGTCCCAGTCGCCCGCAGAAGTAGCAGAGGTCCATTATTCTCTCGTATTTGAAGCTGACCCAGATTGACTTCTCCCCCAGTGGGTATTCGAAACCAATAGGAAATGGTTGATCCAGCTGAACCTCCACCTTGGCTCTGATGAACTTAAGCCATCCTCTGAAGTCGAGATTCGACTGGTCCAAGCAGTGGAACTGAGGGAAGATGTATTCCGCCAAAGCTTGAATTGCTTCTTCATCTTTTAGGGACTGTGGTAAATCATGCATCTGCACCCATAGAGTCACCGTCTGGATGTCATCTGCCTCAGCCTTCTGTTCCCTGTCCCACTTCTTCAAGGCAATGAGGGTGTTGCTGAGATTCCAAGGCCTAGCATCGTAGACCGCATCTCTCTGCTGTTGGGATTGAAAGGTGTAGACGAACAGATTCTCTGCTTCTTTGGTTGCCTGTACCTCCCCATAGGCCCTCCATTTGCTGATCGCAGCATTCCTCGCCTTGTGGAGGTTGATGGTCGAGTCTGTGATCCACTTTCCCAATAACATCGACATTCCGCTGCATCTAGCTCCGATAATAGTTGGCCGGATGTTCAGAATCAGGTGGCTCTTTTCACCCCTAACATTCAGAGTGTTGTTCTCCATTTTGGTGTTGTGATTCGTAGCGTGGGAAATCTGTAGGAGGTGGGGGAAAGCTTGGTTAATCTGGTGGGTATTATGGTGGTGAGGATAAAGGGGTACATGTGGTTCCTGCTTTATATAGGCTAGGATGCATCCTCGCCTGAGTCTCCCCGTCTTCCTCTTTGCATTGAATGCATGTTTCCTTGTTGTACTCCCCTTTCCTTCTCCTTCCCCCTTTGTATTTGTCAGGCATCCTCTTAAATGCCAGATTTGGAGTCTGCTAGGCCAGACATTTATTCCTGCCCTGGAAGGATTGGATCTTATTGGGCTTCGATCTGCAGGTAGTGCCTTCTGTACTTCTCCCCTGCTTTTAGTAAAGCCAGTGGTTGTGAGACTCAGTCTGGGTTTGTTATAAATGGAGATGATTGCTTGACGGCTCCGATCTGTCTCTTTCTCAGGTGCCCTCTTCTTGCCTTTAATGTGGAGATCTTTAGTAAATCGGGGTAGTTGTGAGTCTTCTAGACTTAGTTCCTTAATTCTTATTGCGCCCTCTATCCTTTCTATTCTCTCAACCAGATAGTTAAGCCCTCGTCTGCCTTCCCTGACTGGTCGAGCTTATGGTGGTTTGGGCGGCGGATTTATGGCCTCTGCCTGATTTAGCTCATCCTGTCTTTCCCTCTCCCCGGGTCGTCTATTGGTTGTGCTGGGAGGCTCGCCATAACTGCGTATCCCCCTGCTGCTGGCTTGGATATCTTCATTTTGCTGTTGCCAGACCTCGCAGATCAGTGGGCCGACTTGATTGATGTTGAGGGTGGTGGGAATAGAGAGGGTCCTCAGGTGAGGCACATTGAATGCTCCGTTACCGGCAGCTGTAGAGGCGATGATATTGAGGTTTACAGGGGGTAGGGAAGAAGCTTGGACAGAGAAGGGCATTGCAGGGTAACTGCTGCTCTTTCCCTCGCTCACTTCTGTTGTCGCCTTTCTGTTCTGGTTTAACTTTGATGGCGAACTCACGTAGCTGTCTCCCTCTACCATCTTTTAGGTCTCCAGTTGCCTACCAGATATTATCCCTCGACGCATATTTCTTTGCTTTGGCAATGCCTCAGCCTCACACAAGGGTGGAGGTAGAAGGTTATAACAGGTTTCCATGATGCCCCTTGATTTGGAGAAATACACTAAAATCTAGTATTATTAATATGCCAATAATTCAACTTGAACTCAAAATCTCAATCTTAATTGTTAAATTTTCGCAATCCAACCACGATCAATCATACAAGATAATTTTACATACCAATTTCTACAATAATACAATCTAGTTTATCAAAATGGATAAGAGATTGGAGGTAACTAGAGGAAATCATTGAATTTTCTATGATAATGATAGTCGGAAGAGAAAATTGGTTCCCGTAAATGTATTTGCTTGTGAAACTAGGTCTAATTTGCTAGTATATTTGGTCAATACACATGTTGATATAAAGTTTTGTGCATGAAATGAAACGGTTGACCAGCTTCAAAATTGAGCGCAAAAATTATGAATATTTATTTTGTGGAATACATTAAGGGTGAATTCTCTATAATTTGGAATAATTTCATATATAATATCAAACATAAGATCGCATCATAAGTTATTATTCAAAAATTATTTTAATGCAACACTTCGAATAAAATTCTGGTTACGCCACTAATCTCATATTCCATTCTCAGCTATCACATAATGCGGATCACCAGCTTGCTACCCTACCCTAGTTGAACCTTCACCTTCAACAACAAGAAGACAAGCTTCTACTCCACCTACAGGACTTCGCGTAGCCGTTGATGGCGCAACAAGTTCCCCAACGCATGGGGCGGTCGAACTAGTTGGTTACAACGGATCGCAAACCGTGTTTGCCTTCAGATGCTCGTTCCCGAGTGTCATTGAGGCTAAAACTGTCGAACTTTTGACTGTGTGTGAAGCTTTATCTCTGCTTTGGCAATGGCAGTGGCATGATCAAACAATTCATATCACGGTTGATGCCCAAGCAACACAGTGTTGCAGCAATTGGAGACTTGAAACTCTTAATGATGCTCGTTGTGGCGCTATATTGCGTTAGGCTTGCTCCCTACTTACCCAGTTACCTTTGGTTCATTTGGTATTGACACCACAAGAAGCGAGTTGTGTTGTCCATTCTATGGCACGAAATATCTTACGTTATTCTGGTATTAGTAGGGTACTATATGACTACTCTGGTATTCTGATCACATTCGTATGGCTACTCATTTGTAATTTGTTGTTATTTTAGAATTTAGATTGTTTTAATTTAACTTTAAATTTTCTGATCACTTACTATAAATTTTGATACCCAAATTTATTGTTTTTTACAATTAATACCTAAACTTTTAAAAATATACAAAAGGTCTAGAAATTTTGGTGGTAAATTTATTTTTTTACCTTTATAAGATTTACCTCACACTACATTTCCTAAACTTTTAAAATTTTATAATATTTTGTCAGGAGAAATTTCAAATCACTAATTGTTGCATTTAAAATTGACAACTAATACACTAGACATAACCATGTATTTGAAAATCATCTCATAAATTTATCAAACAAATGATTTGACTTTTAAAAATCCAAATTACAAACAAAAAAAAATCCAAATCTTTCTACAAGGAAGTGTTAGGAAAGTGCCATAATAATTGTGGCATACATCTCGTACGACTTTTTTTTTGCAAACTACGCAATCTGTAAAATTGGCCGGCGTCGCCAACTCCATTGCAATTACACAAGGAAGTAACTGCCACGTCGGTTTGAAAGTAGGTGACTAACTGGATGGATCTCTTTCAAGAGCAATTGTCAAGTTCAGCAAAGTAGGACTTCTCCGCAACCAAAACACCCTGAAGGAGGAACAGAAAATCACGGACGGGAAGTTGGGAGGAAAAGCACCCAAGTCGTCCATCAAGAAACTATTGTTACAAAAAATGAAGAGACAGACAGAGTTCCTGCTATGATTCTGCTAACTGCTACGTACCTTAATGATCATAATGGCTGCCTCTTTGTGGATCACCTCATTGTACTCGTGACACACTACGCTCTGCAATAATTACCCTTTATAAGCGATTAAGAAAATTGCATCACTTTAAGTAAACAAAAAGAGAAGCATACCTGAACGCAATTAGGACAACCTGTGTACCCATGGCAACTACAAGAAGTGAGGAGCTCTAATGCTGCATTCAGAAGCTCACTGAAATAAGGTTGTACCTGTTCCAAATTCAACAACCATCCCCATCTCGGCTCAGAGTAACGAAAGATATCATCTTTCTCCACTAGGTCTCAAAGACAGTTGAACAGTCTTTTGAAAGTTAGAGTAAGATTAAACAACAACGAAATTTTCATTTCGAATGGCGTAATCACCTGCTTTGAGACACCAGTGCCACCGGGATGCTGTTCATATACTAGAATTCTTTCAGGGAAATAGCGATTATCATGCAGGTTTGGGCACTCTGGAGCCAAGTCAGAGTAATTGCACCGTACATATCTGCCCATTTGTAACCCCATCGTGATCACATGATGATGCAATGAAAAGCATTATCCATGGCAGTAGCAGGAAACACTTACAAAGGCACTACATTAAGAAGAGCATGAGAAGCAGCATGCAATCCCCCTTGGAACGAGAAACCCATGTCCTCCACCGATTTTTTAAGTGATTGAGGAACTCCGATCCACGCAGCCTGCATCATTAAGTATTTTATATTAAGCAGGCATCTCTGGCTATAAAAGTGTCCCATCAGCCAATGGTGAAGAAATAAGATTCCATCATCAACAAGCAGATGGACACCTGTGACTCGTAGGAGTAACTGGGCAGTGAAAGGTCAATTGTATCCAAGACTCTGTTGCTTCCTCTTGCCATACGACGGAATCCAAACCAAGTGGTTGTTACTGTGCAAGAACGTGCTTGAGCCGTCGTTCTTTTATTCTGGTTGCAGGACATGACTGGATAGGCCTGCAAACATGTAACACAAAGGCTTTTGGTACCAAACATCGCAAATTCCCACTAACACACTTAATGTTCCCTATCGTCTTATAGCATTCACAACCGACTTTCCAGTAAACTTACGGGTCATTTGGATTAGAAAATTTGGGTAGGGATTTGCCACAATCCCTGCCCTTCCCAGATTTCAGCACATTTACGCATTTGGGAAGGCTCGAAAAACTTAAGGATTTTGGCCATTAGAAAGTTTTAAAACCTGTCATGCAAGGATTTCAAAAGAGTTGATGCCTCCCAGCTATCTCAAATCTCTCGGTTAAGTTTTTTTTCCTTTCAAAAGAAAAGTTTGAAATGCATTGGTTCAGCGTAAGTATATGGTTCAAAATTTTCATCAAGCAAGTTCCGATATACAACTAAATAGTAGCTTCAATAAATCTTGAACTAACCCCTTCAAGAAAAAAAAAATCTTGAACTAACATAAACATGTGGCCTGTGGGTTAGGTTGCATGGAACAACTGTAGTTCCTGTAAACATTTCCAGAAAGTCATCTTTAAGATCCAAAAGCACATTATGTCATGAACAATAGCATTGGATCTTTAGCCTAAGTCAATAGCAAAATGTAAAATCATGCAAGCACTAATGCCTTGACAAAAAAAAAAAAAAATCAGTAAAATCCGCAAAATAACTAAAAGGTTCATTTGGAGAATTGTAGTTTCAATCTCAGGATTCTAAAGAATTCTAACTCCAAGAATTGTTTAAGAAAAGGAGATTCTAACTTTCTATATAAAAAGAGAATGAAACAAACGCAAATAAAACTACGTTTTCACAATATATCAATATATCTAACATCTCAGTCAGCTGTTTGCACACTTGAAAGATTGCAGATTACTACTTTATCAGCCTCATAAATAAGAACTAGTGATGCACTAACGGAACGACAGTCTATTATTAACCTTCTAACAAGACTCGAGTTCTATACGCGAACTTACAGTATCACCTCCCATAACATGGACATCCGTGTAATCTCGAGTTTTGGTATAATAGTTCACATGAGCTTGCTGGCACCAAGCAATCTTTTCCGATATATTGAGCTCTTTAACTAGATAAGACTTCCCCTGGTGCAGATAGACTGCACCTTCATACACCTGGGAAACAGAGAAAACCCAATTTAGCCACCATGGAGAGAGACAAAGAAAGACATGTGTACTCGACAACTCCTTACCTGAAAGAAAGCCTTGCTTTCCTCTATCTCCTCGAGAAGGTCATTCTGTCTAGTATCTATCACTTTATACCTGACAGTTTCTATAGCTCGAATACTTATTCCACGTGAAGGCATTTTCTGACCAATTAGAACCAGAGAAGAATCATTACAAACCAAAAGAATTGTCTAACCAGAACCTAAATGAGAAAAAATTGTTGTTCTTAAGTTTTACCTCTTTCCCGATATAGCTCCATATTCTGGCAGAATCATCATGGGTCAAATTGCAAGTTATGGATCCTTTATTTTTAAGCGACACCAAGGCCGTACTTAGCGCAAGTCCAAAATGGTTCTCATCATACTTCAAACTCAATGGATGTTCAAAAGCAGCACATGCGAGATGCTGTTCAACTACCTAAATAGAGAATACTATAAAGTTAAGTTAGTTGTTTTAACAAATGTGGAGTTCGCTTAGTTGCTGGAACTGAATACGGATATGAAAAGTGTCAAAAACTGGTAACCTGCAGGTTCTGAGCGTCAATATGACAGCACTCAATTGGACTACCAAAGAGCTTTCTAGGATATTTCATGAAATATTGATCTAGAGGGCCTTCGAAAGCAACATACACAGCAAGAGAAGCCTTTTCTCTTCTGCCTGACCTGCCTGCTTGCTGCCACAGGCTGAGACAGAAAATGTTTTGGCAAATCAACAAAAAATTCAAGTTGTTAAAAATCTACTAATAGAGAATACAGTTCCGCTTTACCTAGCAATGCTACCAGGAAAGCCTAGGTGTAGTGTGGCATCTATATGTCCAACATCAATACCCAACTCTAGAGCATTTGTTGCAGCAATGCCACAAAGCTCACCACTGAAGAAATCTCTTTCAATTTTCCTCCGTTCCTGCATCATCAAGCAACTGATTCTCAAAAGAACCAATACTCCTATGCCCATAAGCAGTAGATATGCCAAAAACAGAACAAAAAACCTAACATCGTGACAGAGATTATATGTAATCTTCAGCACATTCAACAAGTTAAGGAGAATTCAGCTTTACTAAAATGTCACACGCCAAACCTACCTGCTAATGACATTAAAGGTTTTCAAGCCAGTTTTCACATTCTACTGTTTCAAAGACAAACATAAAAGGGACATGAAGGGTAAGGGGTTGGACACTTTGAGATACAAAGGAGGAAAGGAAAACGGAAGAAATTGTGCCTTAGTCAATAGTAAAATTTAAATAAAAAAACTTTTGCTCAATTCACTCTATAGCATCATTTTGGGTAGGTCAAATCGAAAAACACGTATTTGTTCAGAAACGACAGATGCATCCTATACGTATATTTAACCTTCTTACATTGTTCTTATTAGGGACGCTATCTCCAAAACATTTACTTCTTCAAGATGAATTAAACTCAAGTTCAAAAGGACCTGTTCCGGTTGAGCCTGACCTTGTGAACCAAGTATTAGGGGCAGTAACAACTACAAAAATCAATATTTCTATTGCCATTATAATTGAATATGAAGGAAATGGAACGTTACAGACCTCAGGTATATAGCCAGCTCGGTATGCAGATATTTTATCTATGAGGTTGGGAGCTGTCTCTTGGAGAATCTCACGTCTGTTATAATACAAAGAAAGCACCACATGACTTCCATTCATAATCCAGTCTAGGTATGGTACACGTGTTTATATTTTCCGGTGTCCAGAAAAAGAAAGATTCTGTGCTAAAGAGAAAAGTTAGGGTCATTGATGCCAATAGAACATACGTATAGGAGAGAACAAGTTCAGTGAGCTTGCGTGATTTGCAAAAAGCAATACACCGAAGTCCATGTTGAACCATCTCAGCAAAAAGGCATGCAACTGTGAAGATTGGACTGGGGAAAAAAGGAAAGAGCATCAGGCAATACCAAAATGTTATACATACATCATTCCAAAGTACAACTTATTTAAAATGAGTTTGAAGTTCATCTAGGAGGCACCACTTTCCCAAATTACACTACTACTGCGTTAAAAGAACAAAGTAAATATCACACTGAAACCATTCGCAATTAAAAGAATGGATTACCTTATGCTTTTGTCTGCAGAGCCATTGATATCTCTACCAGTTTCATTTTGCACCTGTAACCTCGTAGAGTCAGCAATGTTTTGACTACTCATTCTATTTTGCATTTACATGGAGAGAAGAGCACCTACAGATTTAAGGGAAGAAGGATTCCAAAGGATAAATTGCTTTTCAGAGGAGGGGCTCCTATCATTTTCTATAAGCTCCAATGTTGAGAGATTTGCAAGCTCCTATACATCAGAAAAGAACATCAATCCATCAAACAAAATGTATAACCTAGCAGATACGCGCACCATTCTGAAGCACTAACTTAAAATCAGATAAAGGGGTCATGGATTTAGCAGCTCGTCCAGACTTTCAGCACCTTGCAGAAGAGCAACATCCGCCTCACTACAATATAGGCTGCCTCATGATGAAAGATATTCGTTTTTGACAAGAGAACAAGGTAGTGGAAAAATCTAACCGACTGTTATATGGCTGATGGATTAAACTATGAAAAGATAACCGTCCACCACTAGTTGTGCAAGATGGCAGGCATGCAAATCAATCCAACTTATATATGGTCAAAGAACATGAAAGATAAAAGCATCTTTGTATAACTCTACTGTACAATGCCCTATACCAGTCACACCCGTAAATTGAAGCACTTGAGCAAGAAGAGAAATGGAAACTCAATTCAACAGGTCGGTCAGCTAATGGTTCCCAGTCACAGTTATAGAATGATAAACCACTATTCCATAAGAGTAAGCTAATCACATTCATCTGCATTTGTTCTCCATGGAGCATTCACCAACGTTCCTCTCTGGATCTATAGCACCTTCCTAAAACTGATTAAAAAAAAGATGGGTGGTGACGACCATCCAAGGGTGAGAAGCCAAGTCATTATCAAACTTTCTCATCAGGATGAAAAGAAGATAAACCAGCCATGGTAGCTACTTGCACCAGCATCAAATTAGCACAACAGAATGTTGGTCAACATAATCCAGCATTATGCCATCTATCATCTTACCATGCAATGCTCCCTAGGATTGGCAGACGTTGCTGTGGAAAATACAAACGAAGGATCCGTGCCATATACTGGACATAAAAGAAAAGTACGTCAGTAAATGGTTAACTGACATGTGAACTGGATAGAGATATAATGAACTGCACACTAGAGGGAAATTGAACCATGAGAACAAAGGCGCCGGAGTCTTCTAAGTATGAGAGCAGTATGGCATCCAAGTGCTCCCTTATACATATGAGCTTCATCAATGACCACAAACCTAATACATGGGGAAGATCAATCTTTTTCCAAGGAACCAATCTCTATTCCCTGAGAATATCATTCCGGAGTACTGCTTATTTTAGCTATTTAGACAATGATTCCAACATTACCTAAGATTTGTTAGAATCCTACTAAATTGCCCATGATATGGTAAAATTGACAAGTGTAACATGTCTGGATTTGTAATCAACTGCACACAGAGGTGGACAAAATTTTAGAAATAAGATCCCATTCAGAAGTTGTATTGTATGAGACAGAAAATATTGGCCGACAAAAGTACCAGTCTAGCATCAGAGCGATGCAACATTCTTTCCTCGTGGCAAGTGTCGCCATCATAAACACCAATATTTATGTCTGTGTCATATGCTTTCTTCATAGCTAGCAATGCTCTCAATTGATCTTGAGCTAATGCCTACATCCATGACATCAAGAATTACCATCCGGTGAGCAGCATTTCACAATTCAAAAGAAATGGCAGCATAATAATAGCAATACTTGGAATAATTGAAAGCATAGAGAAACGTTCACCAAACCTTAGTCGGAAACAAGTATAAAGCACATGCCTGCAAATTCTGGGACAATGCTTCCAAAACAGGCACATTGTAGCAAAGAGATTTTCCGCTGGATGTCATTGTTGCCACCACAACATTTCTCCCCTTCAGGGAGGCCATGATGGATTCGGCCTGCTAAAATTAAGAATTATAGCCATCTTAAAAATATTGTTGCCAAAGAATGTGGTAAATGAAAGCAACCGTACCTGATGGGTATACAATTTGTTGATTCCCATACATTCTAGCGCAGATTTTGTATTTGTTGAGAGTTCATCAGGAATATCTGCATACTGAGCTTTTCTTGCTCTAATTTCTTCAACGTGCACCATCTTCACCATAAAGACTTGTAGAGTTAGCAACAGCACATAAACTTTCCTTTTTTGTTTTGTGATATGTGTATCAGTGGATAAAAGTTAAAAACTACCAAACAGGACATTTTACTCCCCTCGCAGCAGCTGGAAAGAAGGAGAAAAAAAACTAAGAGAAGCTAGGAGCAGAGTAAAGAAGGAGGGGAAAAAACTAAGAGAAGCTAGGAGCAGAGTAAGTGTCTTTAGATAGTAATTGAAGAAAAAGAAGAAGAGAAACATTTTGAAGTAAATGAGCAGGCAAGTGGCGAACAGAGAAAATCTTCACCCTAGATGAATTTTCTCTGCAGGAGTTTTCCTACCTGCCCATTGGAACCCATCCCTTTTAGTAGATGTTCGACCATTTCGATCGGCAACAACTGATCCCTCTCCTGTAAATCAAGAAGTAGAATTCAACGAGAGACTCTGGATTTGAAGATGACAAGAAACAAGATTTAATGTAAAATCATGTCAATCCCAATCCCTAAAAAGAGGAATTAACATTAAAAATTCAATCTATGTTACCTGAAAGAATAATGCATTATGTTTTTCAAGGACTAAAAATAAAAACCACTAAGTTGAGCTCCTCCAGAAAGTCATACAAAAGCCCTTCACTTCTCTACCCCAATTCAGTTTCCAGTGAATATTAGCCTGTAGACTTCTCTGTTCTTTGAACAACTTTAAAATCTCTACATTCTGATGCCCGTTTAAAGAAGATGCACTGGAAAATAATGCATATTAAAACTATTGGTACAAAGAGGAGATTTTTCCGCGGTTCTTTTTCCCCCCTTCTGTAGCATTTTTATTTCATTAAGAAAGTAATAAAGCCAGTAATTAATTTTATTGATATTTGCTAAAACAGAGTTCAGTTTAATGAAGGCATACAGAGCATCGTGCTTGACTTGAGCGAGAACTTGAAGATGACGTAAAGCATTTCTTTGAAGATTCCGGAAGATTGCCACTCCATGTAATCCCGGCTTTCTTCACAAATGTTAGTAAATCATCCAAGGAAAACAAAACCTGGAGTGCATTACCACTTTTGCCCTGGATGATCCACCAAAAGGAGACGTGAGTACAAGCTTTTAACGCCAAAGTCAAAATTTATTGTGTCACACAAAAGGAAAAGAAGTTGAAATTACATCTTATAACATAAAATGGTTGATCTTTTAATTTCTTCACAATCATGAAGCCAATGTACTGATTCTTATAAAATGGATCGCCTTCGTGACAAATGCTGGCGTGATCCAAAATCATAACAATAGGTCAGAATAGCCAAATTCCACAAGTAAAAGAGAAAGTATGCATTGAAAGCAAAATGTGCATTGTACAAAAATCTCTACATCAGAAGCTATGTCAAGAAGTCATTAGCAGTGTGCTTTGATGAGGCATATAGAACACTGTTCTAAAATTACTTAAAGTCATAGTTCACCTCCTGCCAAATGAGATACATCCATACATAATCAAACGGACAATTAGCGAACCACATCCTAATATAGACTGGGATACATATATTACACCTATGCATTGGTTAAGGATTCAGAAGAAGCAACGACTGTTGATGACTTTTCTCATTTGAATACAGATGAAACTTTTTAGCAATTCTGCCAATTACTATCAATATAAGGTGAATCTGTAGTTAAAGAAAAAGTAGATCCACATGCAAATTTAAGTGCATGAAGAAAACAGTAACTGCTGCTGAATAGAATGAAACAAGAGCCAGACATGATGTTTCCAGAAATCGACTTGATAGTGATAAAAAGCATACGAACAAGATTATTTCAGAATACACTTACCATCAATTTTCTAACTGCTTCACAAACATACGTTTTGAACAAAATGTCCCGTTTTCTAACTGCACTAAACATCCTTGACAAAGATACGCCTTTTCGACCTGCAAACAAACAAAATAAATTGATCTTCTGGAAGACCAAAACATTAAGAGACATGAAAAACTGCAGAAGTCACCAACACATATTGCTTATAAGGTACTTTCCAAATCCAATCCCATTCCTCTGTTCGCTTTCATCATCAATGACAACAATGGCCCCAGGAGAATTTTCCAGCTTGGTGCTATCTGTGAAGATTAGTATCTGCCCTACAAAAAGGAAGGGTTACTTGATAAACACAATTAGATATGACAAATATTCAGACAACGTATCTCTAGGTGTATTCTTTTACATCCAGCTTTACTCCTAACCCCACGAGGTTCCGAGACGGAGCTTAACCTAAGTCTCGGTTAAGAACAGCGATGATTAAAACGGAAGTTAAAGAGAAAAACCTTTGAGTCTCTTTACTAAAGGCTTATCTTTCTCAAAAATGAAGGGTTACTTGAAAAACACATTTAGAGATGACAAAATCCACACAGAGCCAGCACCTTATGGTAACAATGAAAACCATAAGCCAACTGAGGGTCGCTTATCAGAAATGAAGGAAGATAACACACTACCGGTGCATATCCATATTTCATCACCCAGTAAACACCAATTTTGCTACGATAAAAATGTTCCTACACAGGGCAGTCTGACTTTGCCAACAAATTGACTTAATGGTAACTAGCAGCAAATAGTAAGAAGTCAACCAAAATTACCTTAGGACAAAGGACAGAAAGACGCTTTACATCCTCAAAACAAACCCCGCACCCATACATTCTGAGCTGCATCAATGCCTCCTTCAAACAACCAGAAGTAATTTCTTCTTTTTGCAGATGAAGAAAGGAAGAAAGGATATTAATGAAAGCAAACGCCTCCATAATTCTTCTAAGCCATGCTGGACATAAACACTGAACTGGCTTGTCTCTGTACTCTCTGTCACCATTAGCTGAAGCAGCCAACAACATGCACATCCCGGAATGTGGAACGGACAAACAACTGATTGATTCCAAAACCTTCACAAACTTCTCACAGTGCACCCCCTCAGTGATTTTCTTGTTTGGAGACCTCAACACAATCGATAGAAAATCATACACTACCCCATCCTCTACAAGGTTCCCGCCATACACGTCCAGATTCCTTTTCCGTTTGTGTCTGGGGAAACTACTATCAGTAGCCTCACAACCATGATTGCCGCGGGCATTGCTTGGTTCATCAATCATCGATGACAAATCTTGCATCATATCTGAATATGCAGCATCTGCAAACCGTGAGATGGAGCTTTGTTTGGGCATCATATCCCCAAGGGGACCAGGTTTTGAAGCCGGTTTCCTCTCCTTCTTTGCAAATGGAATTAGTACAACAAATTCACCAGCCTGAATCTCAAGTGTAGATAATGGACTACTCAAGTTTAATCTAACTCCCTGATGCAGAAACAAAGGCAACAAAATGAACATTTAAGGAAGGAGAAACTAGCAAGACTAAGAAAAATGGCTAGACAGAGCAGTGAGAGTTATCCGTTCTTCACTAGACAAAGAAAAAAATGGTTACCTTGAAGAAGAGATTGAAATTTGGGGAAGTAGAAGCCGGAGAGAAGTCGAGAACCAGGAAGTACTTCAAGTCTTCGACGGTCTTATTTCTCGATATGCTAACAATGGTGGATTCACCCATTAGCGTGCGAATTTCGATTTCGACCGGCTCTTCTCCTGCCATTGCTCAACTCCTAATCTTCAGAATCACTCTCCCGTCTCACTCTCCACACCGCACTCCCGAAACCAAACCAGAGAAATTTGCATGTCTTTTCTTAATGGAAGAAACAAAGAATTGGAAAAGAAACATAGGATAAATTATGGTCACTCAAATTACATAAATCTTTCATGTTTGTCATTCGTATTATTTTTCTTTCATCTTTGCCACTAACTTTACGATTCTTTTCACGGTTAGCCACCGACCGTAAGTCTCCGTCAGATTTCGTTAACTACTTTAATTTTTTGATAACGTGACAAATGGGACTACTGACTGGACTGTTAACTTAATGACATGTCAATTTTAAAAAAAAAAATTAATTAACACCCACCCTAAGACCATCTCCATCCCTGCAATAGGTTAGCCATTTCATAAATGGACCCCACATCCACATCACCAACTTTAGCAACTATTCAATTCAACCATTTCAAACCACCTACATCTCTGCAATATGTAGCAATTGCAATTGATGGGACCTACTACATATTGTTTTCCTTAACAATACATTTTATGTGTACAAAGTGGATAGAAAAGAAAGAAAGAAAAAGAAAGAATTTGAGTACATGAATGTGTGGGTCCCAATTGCTTATATGGCATTGCAAAGGGGATTGCTTATTTAGCAATCTTGCTAAATAAGAAAGAAGTGCTACATCCTTGCAATTGCTTAAAGCTATTGCTACATAGGATTCCACCCAATAAGCAATTGGATGGAGATGGTCTAATACTCTTGCCAAACACCTCGCTTCCGCCGCATCCGTCGATCCAGTCTCCCTCCCCATCGTTGGCTCAATCACCACCAAATCCACAACTACAAAGTAGCCGGCCGTCTCTGCTCGTGATTCTGCACTGCTCTCATGTTCTGACCCTCGCTCATCGGTTACAATGAGCTAGCCATGGATTACCTCTGCAAGCACATCGTCTCGGTCGCTTCACCATGTATTACCTCTGCAAGCTCTCCTTTGGGAGTAAGGTCGAGACTCTCACTCTCGGCAAATGCATCACCTTCACCTTGAGCTCCGTAAATAATTCCACCAGTGATTCCCCCTCCGCTGCCAAGATCTTCATTGGGAGTGCGGATCTGGTGACTAAGGGGGGTGCTTAGTCACTTGACTAAGCCCCTCCTAGCCATTAGATCTGGACACTTCAATCCAATGGTTAAAAAGTGGGAAGGACTATTTAATTAATGGCAGGGGTAGTTTGGGTATTATGAAAAATTATGAAGTATACAAACCGGATTTACAATTAGTACAAACCATACAAACATACGAACAGTACAAACTAGAGCGACAAAACATACAAACAGATTTACAAACATTACAAACGTATGAACTGTACAAACAATACAAACTAGACTGACAAACAATACAAACCATACAAAAAGAAAAAACAATCGGGTTGACTTTGGAGGCTCCATCCCTATATAGAGGGGCTCCTTCCCAAAGTCAACCCGGGTGTTTTTTAGACATACAAACAGTACGAACATGGTGGACAAAAATGACAAACTAGACCGACAATCCATACGAACGGAAAAAAAACACCCGGGTTGACTTTGGAGGCTTCATCCCTATATAGAGGGGCTCCTTCCCAAAGTCAACCCGGGTGTTTTTTAGACATAAAAAACATTACGAACATGGTGCACAAAAATGACAAAGTTTACAAACATGGTTAACAAAAATAACAAAGTTTACAAACATTACAAAAAAAAACCGACAAACATTACAAAATAACAAAGCATACAAACATTACAAAATATGTCAACAAACATCACAAAATTAACACTGTCGCCGGGAAATTCTTCTCCGGCGACGATGTTCGCCGGAAATTTTTTCCGATCAGAAAATTTCCCGACCAATCTCTCTCTCTTTGTCTCTCTCTCTCTCTGGATAATTGCCCCTGGGGAAAATTCCCTTTCCCACAAAAGACACCCACTGCCCTCCCTCTCTCTCTCCCCGCGCATGCTTTTTCCCTTCCCACTACAATTGACCAGCCACCGGCGGAAGGCAGTAGCCGGACCGGAAATCGAAGCCGGCAGGCAGTAGCGGAAGACAGCAGGCCACTTTTTTTTTTTAATTAATAAATAAATAATGTAATTACTATTTTGTCCTTCATTAGATTGGATTAATGTGTGCCATTGAATTTTAATGAACTTCAATGGATGAGATTGGCTTAGTCATGTGACTAAGGAACCCCCCTTAGTCACCTAATCTTGACCCCTTCATTGGTCTCTCTCTTCTCAATCTCGTCAACAACCTTCCACTACCACACATAAATCCCTATCCATCTACCTCCATAATTTGATATATCTCATGTCTTTCCCAATTCCTCAATCTCCCGAGCCCTCTCGATTCTACAATTTTCTACCCCTCTCGATGTCGATCAAACCAAATCCAAAATCCCATCAATTCTTCTTCAATCTCCTCCTTCACCCAACTTGCTAATCGAAACAAATTAGAAAATCAATGGATTTCTTTTTCAATCTCCTTCTCATTCCAGCCTGTTAATCGAACCAAATAAAAAACCCACCAATTGTGAATTTGCTACTCTGCCTCTCATTTTCCTTCAAGCTTGATATTGTGAATTTGTTGATGCAATTAGGCCTCGTCTTCCTTCTCGCAATTCGCCACTAATTGACTACGGTATCGCGAGCAGAGAAGGTCGTCTACTACTACAGTTGCTGCGGTTTGGAATCAATGTCGAGTTTCATACAACCTCAACCAGATTGGGGCCTATCTTTTCAATGCTTCCCACGGGGAGGACAATTTTTCCTGGTCGGGTTATGACGACTTGAACCGAAATGCGAATGGTTACAATCACGATCACGACTGCAGTGTTAATTGGAAGTTGTCAAGGAAGAAGAACCAGAGAAATCAATGTCGGAGAACAAAAAAGCGATGCCGGTGGTGGTGGTGGAGGAGGAGGAGCAGTTGCCGGAGGAGCTGATGGTACGAGAACTACATGAAGTTCTATTAGATTATGTATCTCAATGGGCAACCGGCGACTTAGCTTAGTGCAGCTGAGGAGAGCGTAATCGGAGATCTCTGAAACTTTAACGACGACGAGGACGTCACTATTTTCGCGGTTGCGGTTTAATCTTTCATGGTAGCAGCTGCTACCTGCTAGTTTGGAATTTGGTTTGTGGAGAGGATTCCTTGAGAAGGCGAAGAAGACGAGGGAGGGGAAGATTGGGCCTGATTTTTGTCTAATTTTTGTGTTTTTTTTAAATTGACATGTCATTATTTAATGGTCCAATAAGCTATTTTGTTTGCCACGTCATCAAAAAACTGATAGAATTAATGGAGTCTGACGGAAACTGACGGTCAGTGACTAACCGTGAAACGAATCGTAAAGTTAGTGGCGAAGATGAAATAAAAGTAATTCGGGTGCCATACGTGAAATATTTATGTAATTTGAGTGATCAAATGTGTAATTTAGCCAAGAAACAAACGTCAGATGTGAAACCTATTTCTCATTTCCCTGTTTTAGTTTATTTATTTATGCCTAATACCAAAAAATGGCCGGTAGTTTAGGGTTTATGTCACTTGTACTCTAAAGTTTGTCTTGCGGCAGTTATGTCCCGAAGTTTAGTTTCCGTTAACTTTGACAGTTAGTAGTCAACAGTCAAAATTTTGACCAATGATGTGACATATGATGTGGATTTTTTGTCACATCACTTAATATAAAGTAAATAAAAATTAATACTTAGAAATAAAATTGTATTTTTTAGTAAAAAATAAACTAAATAAGATAACATATAAAATTTACCTAAGCGGAGACGGAATCCATTCCGACAACTGAATCCTTTCTCTTTTATTGGCTTAGCGTTTCCCCAAATTCAACCGCAATTTTCCGAACCCACTCCACACTAGGAAAGAAGCCCCTTTCACTCGTTGTTTCTCACCCATCTATTTCTCAATGTCTCAACAATGGCGGAAAAGCAAGCTGAAGTCAACAATCAGACTATGTCCGATTATGCCTGTCTTACCTTGGAGGGAACTCACTCAAGCATCCGGAGGCCCAACATTAAAGCCAACAACTTTAAAATCAAGATTGGGATGCTGCAAATGATCCAAAATCGGGTGCAATTCAATGGCCTACCCGACGAGGATCCCAACTCTCACCTAAGTAAGTTTTTGGAGCTTTGTGACATAATAAACTAAATGGCGCAACCACTGATGCCATCCGCCTCCGACTATTCCTATTCTCCCTCGACAATGGAGCACGGGAGTGGTTTGATGCACAACCACGAAACTCAATCACAACATGGACGTAACTTGCCGATAGATTCTTGACCAAGTACGTTTCACCAAGCAAGATAGTGAAACTCTGCAAGGATATCGCCGCGTACCGCCAAGAAGATCATGAAACTCTCTACGACACGTGGGAGAGGTACAAGGTAGGCTCGATGGATGGAAGGGGCGAGTTTTGTCCCTTGGTGGAAGACTTGTGCTAAATAAATCTATCCTCGACATTCAACCAACTTACTACTTCTCTTTGTTGCGAGCACCAGCCACGGTCATTAATAGAATCGAGAAGATTGAAAGAAGATTTTTTTGGAGTAGGACAGGGGAGAGGCAGAAAAGCTCACTTGTGAGCTGGGACGTTTGCAAAGCTTTAAAGGAGAGGGGGCGATATCTGCATTATCAATCTGAGAAGTTTTAGTACAACCTTGCTCTCGAAATGGCATTGGTGTTTTGCATGGAGAATAATTCTTGGTGGAAGGAGTTGATTCAAATAAAGTATAAAGGAACTTAGTCTGTCTGGCATAGTTGCAAATGCATAGAGGGCTTTGCCAACTCAGTGTGGGCAAACATAACAAAGGAATTTGACTCGTTCTGAAATTTAGCTTACATTTATCTCGGGGGAGGGGTCTGGGTCTCCTTTTGGAATGATCGATGGATACCTTCCATGACTCTCGCCAACGCCTTTCTGATAGTCGTCGTTGCTGCTTCTTCGCCAGATGTCTGGGTCTCCGATAATACCACCTGCATAGGTGGGAACTTGGTTTTGGAATGTTAATTTTAATTTTAATTTGAGAGTGTTACGAGATCGGGCCATCGTAGCATTTAGTAGGAAACTAGGCTTGCGTATCTTTAGTATTTTATCATTATTATATTATTGGGCTTTTATTATTATTGGGATTTATTATTGTTTTCCTTGTTCGTATAGGATTTGGTTATTTGTTGGTAATATCCTTAGAGGTTTAGGAGTCATAATCTAGATAGGTAAAGGTAGAGACTTTGTGCCTATAAATATGTACTTGTTTCGTTCGTTTAATGATAAGAAGATTGGAATCCAATAGTTAGCTTTTGTTCTTAGTTTGCTATTTTCTTAGTTATTTCCTTGAGAGTTCTTGCGTTTTATTCCTTTTTACGAGAAAACCCTAAAAACGCCATCCCCCTATGTCACATTACCGTAACAGTTGGTATCCAGAGCCTGGTTCTCGGGATGGCGAGTAAGCAACAACAACCATCAAAATCCAGGGGAGCGGACGACAGTAGCGGCGACGGGTCGGAACCCAACCATCCCCAGCCACGACCGCACGCCATGGAGGAGCGGATTGGGAGCTTGGAGGGTCGGCTCAATCCTTTGGTCGAGCGGGTCGAAACCTTAGACTAGAAGCTCACCGACGTCACAAGGTTGATGGCTGAAGGTTTTGCCGCAGCAGAGTCGATGAATGAGCAGCGATTCACAGCCTTGGAGGACTTGGTGCGAACCATCGCGATGTAGACAATCTCAGCAACAGATCGCCGATTGGAGGCTTTGGAAGACGCGCTCGAGCGAGACAGCAGTGCAATCGTGACTCCAATTGCAGCCCGAGTTCACGAGCGACCAACAACAACGGCAACAGAGAAGCTGAAGGGCCCTCTGATCGAGGAGGACAACGGCGGGGTTAAAACTAAACTGACGACTGGCATGGGGTCGCCGATGGACGGCGACAACGGAGGAAAGATGGGCAACGACGGCAACACCAGTGGAAATGCGGCGCTGGAACCTGGCTGGGGTAACCTCGCCGTGTCAGAGGTTCTGATCAGCGGAAAGCAAGGAGGTTCGGCGGGAGGAAGCTTACCGGCGAAGATGTCAGGGAACGCGGGGGCGATGATGGGAATTACAGGCGTAACTACACCGGGTTGGGTCGGACCGTTGGGCTATGACATCGGGCTGTATGGACCAACACGGCTAGATCGGGGTTGGTTGGGACGAACAATTGGGCTTGACCCATTTACCAAAGGCCGCCAGGATTCGGGCCACCGGGCCTCAACGTAGGCTCGAACCCAAGAGTTGGGCTTTCGATTACTAGGTTGCTACAGTCCATGGTCGGACCCGGGGTGGGTGTAAGCCCCACTTCGAGGCAACTAACGAGCGGGAACGGAGGATCGGGACCCATGGCCATCTGGATCGGAGTTCCAGGCGCAGGGGAAGGGCCGCCAGGGTTTGGCTTCCAACACTTCAATGGAGGAATGGGCTCAACGAGCAATTGGGTCGGAGCAAGTGGAATAGGGGCCCAAGGAGGACGCGACAGCGGAGCCCAAGGAGGAAAAAGTGGCGGGCCGGGAGAGAACGGGTTGGTCGGTGGCGGATTGGGCTGGGTTCCGCAACCTGGCTTGGGCAGCACGTCTAGGATGCCAACCGGGCCGACTGGAATGGGCCTGGGACTCAACTAGGGCCAGATACCGAATGGGGGAGTCGGGACCGTGGCCGTCTGGGCCGGGGCCACACGCATAGAGCACGAGCCAACAGGGAGTGGGCCTGTCGTGAGCGGGCTTGGAGCAAACTGGCAGGCGCCAGTCAGGCCGCCGACTGGTCCACCGTCTGGGCCGCTGGGTCTTGGGGAAACGCAACCGGATCAGGAGAAGGAGAGCGTGGTGGGCCGAGCGGAAAAATGGAGGAGAAGAATGGGTGGTTTAAACCCAAATTAGCCCAACTTGAGTTCCCAAAGTACAACGGGAGTGAGGATCTGTCAAGCTGGTTCGCAAGAGTGGAGCAGTTTTTTAGATTCCAGGAAACCCCAGAGGAGCACAAGGTGGCTCTCACGTCATACCACATGGAGGGAGATGCGAATCAGTGGTGGCAGTGGTTGGAACGCAAGTACCTCACATCGGGGCTACCAATCACGTGGGCGCGATTCAGAGAAGAGCTATGGGCTCGATTTGGCCCAGCAGAAGGAGCATCTAGCTACGAGGCTCTCGCAAAATTAAGCAGACTGGGTCGTTAGGCGACTATTTATTGGCATTTGAAAAGCTGGGCAATCGCTGTATTGGGTGGACTGAAGAAGCCTTGGTGGGATCATTCATTGGAGGGCTTAAACCAGAGATATCTGATGCGATTCGAATGTTTCGACCAGAAACGGTGCGGGAGGCTATTCGTCTTGCCAAGGTAAAGAATGAAGAACTAAGCAAGCATCGGCCAATGGCTAAAGGAGCACCTCGACACGGGATGGAGGCTGGGTCGTCATCAACAGCTACACCCACACCACCAGCGCCACGTCGACAACCAGCGGCACGCCGAATGTCGCCAGAAGAAGTCGCTCGATGTGGCGCACAAGGATTATGCTTTCATTGCGATGAGCGCTTCACCATTGGTCATCGTTGCGCCAATAACAACGTTCTTCTTATGACTGGCGCATGCGGTGAAGGCAAGGAGTGCACGTTCATCGAGGAGGAAGACCAACCTTGAGGGTAAGGTTGTGCTCAAGGAGGGAGGGACATTACGAGATCGGGCCATCGTAGCATTTCGTAGGAGACTAGGATTGCGTATCTTTAGTATTTTATTATTATATTATTGCGTTATTATTATTATTGTCTTTATTATTGTTTTCCTTGTTCGTATAGGATTTGGTTATTTGTTGGTAATATACTTAGAGGTTTAGGAGTCATAATCTAGATAGGTAAAGGTAGCGACTTTGTGCCTATACATATGTACTTGTTTCGTTCGTTTAATGATAAGAAGATTGGAACCCAATAGTTAGCTTTTGTTCTTAGTTTGCTATTTCCTTAGTTATTTCCTTGAGAGTTCTTACGTTTTATTCCTTTTTACGAGAAAACCCTAAAAATGCCATCCCCTACGTCACATCACCGTAGCAGAGGGGGGGGGGGGAGGGGCTGAGAGGGAGAGGGTTGCTATGCTCAATTTTCTTGGTAACCTTTGTGTCACTCGGATGAGTTGTCGGCCGAGCCGTATTGTCTGGTCTCCAAAACCCAAGTCTGTTTTTCTGTCAAGAACATGTACATGTCGCTGATTAAGAACCAGTATGAAGGTTTGAATGAGTTCCCGATTGAATTTGTGTGGAGGAGGATTATTCCATCCAAGATTTGCGCGTTCGTGTGGATGGTGGCTCACAAGAAAATCCTTACTATTGACAACCTCAAGAGACGAGGATGGGCAATGGCGAACAAGTGTCCCCTTTGTTTGAAAAGCGAAGAGTCGATTGACCACATTTTCGTGGACTCCAACTTCACCAAGGAAATTTGGACCAAGGCATCTAGAGTTTGTGACAGTGTCGTTCCACCTGATAGAGAAATTGTTTCAACGATCTGGAGATGGTGGAATGACACTCCGGACAGCACCAAAGGGCAGGTTGTTTACTGCTTACTACACACAATTTGATAAGGAATATGGCTCGAGCGGAATCGGAGAATTTTTCGTGACCTCAAGTCGTCCTCCAACGATGTTTTCTACAGGACAATGAGAGCAATTACGGTGGATTGTTGCACAGGGCAAGACAAGGAGAGATAAGGGAAATGAGTAGTTGAGAAACTGTTAGTCTGTCTTGCTTTGTTGTTTTTGTTTTCCTCTATGGTTTTGTGCAGCTGGGCAGCCCGTTTTGGCTGTTTTGTTTTTAGCTGCCTTGTTGTTTCTCTCCTTTCTTTCTTGACTTCTTACTTCTTGTGAGTTGTGAGAGCCTTGTTTTTTTTTTTCTTTCTCACTTCCAGTTTGCTTCACTCTTTTTCAGTTCAATGAATTTTCACCCTTATAAAAGAAAATGGTACTTTCACTAAAGGTTGGTATTTCTAGTGGTATTAGCCCTTATTATTATTATTATTATTATTAATTCCATACACTCTGTTGCATATTGGATGCGTGGGTTGGGTTGGTTCACCTTTTTTCCTTTTCCCTCCATAATGATAATAATTCTTTCCATCTACCTAATTTCTTTTCTATGCAACTTCTTTGGTAATTTATTTATTTCAATTGGTAGCAGTGTAATAAACCTGCTATATTTATTACTGGTGCTATTTCTTTTTAAGGAAATGAGAAGAAAATTAAGGGGCAAATCATTAAATTCATTTCCAACCCCATCCACCATCATCATCATCATGGAGTTCACACTATTGCAATAACTCGCTCACTTACTTCTCCCAAATTTAAGCAATTCATTTCCGATTGATTTTCAAATTCATTCCTTTTCTTTTTTTTTTCAAATTCGAAACAAACGGCCCATTTCATCTGCCCAGCCTTGCTCTCTCTCCCAACAACAAACAAGGACAGGACAAGACAAGAGAAAGAGAAACCCACAATTTTGCTCGACTCCCCTGCTGCTTCCTCTTCTCTTCTCTTCTCTCCCTTCACTGTGTTTTTTTTTTTCACCTCTCAAATGAGCACGCAATGGACGAGTCCGAGCAGCAGGTTGATGAGATGGCGAGTCCGAGACTGGGTTTCTTGTTTCCTCGCTTCCCGGATTCCTCCTCTAGGTAACGTAAAAAGCATATGAGCCTAAATATTGTCTGAGATAATCAACCGTGCGTGTTTTTGCCACAAAATATATATTGTTATGCAATGATTTCTTCATGGGTTTTGTGTTTTGTACGTAGATGATGACGCGGCAAATGGTAATTTCCGGAACATGGTGTGCGAGTGCAACGTAAATGACGGCGGCACAAGGCAGTACCGGCGGAAAAGCAGGCGCAGAAAGGAGCGACGGATCCTAACTGACGGCGAGACTGATCATGACGACAACAACACTGATGATAATGTTAGTGGCGGAGGAGTTTCCGGCTCGAAATCGACGGGGAACGGAGAGGCAACGGAGAGGGAGCTGTGCGTTGTTGACGGCACGGGGAGGCGGCGGCGGCGGCACCCGGACGATGATAATCGTCAGGAGGAATATATCGTGTTCCGCTTTGGTGAAAACGGTGCTTTTGAAGTTGTCAAGGACGGCCGGCACAGAAACAACTATAAACCTCAGAATCATACCAACGCAGCGGAAAGTAATTTGGAAGTGGTTACCAATACCGCCGGCGGGAGTTCCTCCTCTGCCTCCAAGCCCACTGTCAACAGAAAGGTACTGACTTAACTTAACAATACTCTTTTCCTTCCTTTGAAACAGCTTTTACCTTGCGATCCAAGGACTTCTGTTTGTTGTTGGATAACTGTCGCTTTTTATTGCTTTTCCAATTAGTTGAATTATGGCAATCAGGAAAATGGTAGGAGGGATGAATCATCATCAGCAGCAGCAGGGAAAGGGAGATGGGAGGAGAAGTTACCATTGCCAACTACTCATCAGCATGGCATTGTTGGGTCAAGTGTAAAACCAGAGATCCTTCATTCTCAGCAGGTGGAACATGTATATGACACAAGCACACTAGTTAGTAGAACTCCATCCATCATTGCCTACCTTGTTTTGTTTCATTCATTTCCTCTTCTTATAGGGAGAAGAGAACTGCAGCTTCAGGCGGCATCCATTGGGGGAGATAGACAGAAACCAATTCGGGACCTCCGCTGCCGCCGAATCTGGCAGCAGCAGAGACAATTCGCAGTCCTCCAGCTCTGGCTCCTTTTCCTTCCCTGTGTAAGTAAAAGCATCAGCTTCCTGTCAGTCATCCACAACTAACTAATAATCACAATCCCTTTCACTAAGCTAACACACAGAGAAGCACCTTTGATACTAACGTTATCTACTTGCTTCATGAGTGCATGCAGATTGCAGTGGGAAGAGATGGTAGGGAGCCCAGTACAAATGCCAAAACCAGAAGACAACTTTCACCTGCGGAAGCACAGGATGAATTGTGCTCGTTTCCAGTGCTGTAGATTTCGAAGAAACTCCATCGACTGAGATCCCTTTCTTGTTGCTTACCTTTGACATGCTTCTTCTACATGAGCTATATAGGAATAGGACAGGCTAGTGCTACAGTAATCCTCCAACAGGATTTGTTTTTTTTCCCCCCTTCATTTTCTTATCATCAGAACTCGGAATACATCAATCACAATGTACTCTCTTCTACACATAGTAAAACTGATCTGTTCAATAATTTTGCAAGCTGAAGATTTTCAATAAGTATGTGGATTAAACAGATTAGCACCATCAACACAATAACTTTGCAGACTAACCACACTATACTTCTTCTAAAAACACCCACAAGTTATGAAAATGAAACACTCCCACAGCTTCGGAAATAGACAATCTGTTAGTTATAGCTTACAACCGAATAAGAAGACCCTAGCGCACAGGTACTATGCTTGAAGAAGAATCAGAAGCCATAGCATTGGTCAGTTTCTTGAATGGATTTGCAGCACTAGGCTTACAAAGTAGAAACTGAAGGTGTTGTCTAGCAAGCGCAGCTGCAATAATGGATTCCTCATCACGCTTTTCTTTCGCCGCAGCAACAGCTGCAATGTAACTTATGCGTGCCTCTTCCATTTCCCTAATGTCCGTATCGTCCAAATCGTCCTGCACGAGATTAAGTTAAGAAAAGTCCATTTCTTAGATAATAAAGACTCAACTGAGGGAGAATCAGCTAATCACTTAATAATGTCTGCAGGTAAGTTTATCACTTACAATGTCAGGATCATAGTCTAAATATGTTGGCTTGCTGTCATAATCTTCACTGAGTGTTGACATATCACACTTTGTCAAGCCTTCAAATAACAGCATCAATGACGAGATGTTTCCTTGAATTGAATCCAGCTCTCCCTGAAGCTTCTCAGCCTTTTTGTTCGATGTCATTGCTTCCCATTGAATCCTCTCTAGTGCTGCCTGCTTGTCCGCCAGTTTTATCTGCAGAAAATTCCAGCAACAGTTAGCATGTCTTATGTATGATAGGAAGAATGAAAAAGACAGCATAAGCTTGAGACATAGGTAAATATTAGTTCCATTTAAATGTGTGGCTTTCAGTTAGGCTTAGCCATGCAGCTGGGATAGAACTCGGCTAATAACGCCCCAAACTTTTCTCAAGATATAAAGTATAAACAAAGACACTATTTATAAAAAAAATGTACTAATTGAGCATAAAGCTGTCACTTCTATCATTGCCGACACTCCTACCTAAATGATTTAGTGAACCAGAAGTATGATAATAGCAAATATTTGCCTTTGTTTAGCCAATCAAGGTCAAGTGATATACAAGTACCTTGGCATCAGAGAGTTGCACTTGATGGGACCTTATTAAAGACTCCTTTTCAGAAACCTGCTGTTTCAGTTCATTTAACTCAGCTTGAATTGCATCATTCTGGCTTTCTGATATCTCCAATGATTTTGCTAACTCGTCTTTCTCGGATAACTTCTTCTGCAGATCTTCCACTTGTTCCCTTAATGTGATTAGCTCATCTGTGTTATTGTCGGCAGCAAAAGCCCTTGAGGTAAACACTGTGAAGTCGCTGACATCTTGAGTATTTCCAACACTCTTACTTTCATCCTTATCTCCACGATCCCCTTTCTTTTTTGCGGGAATAGATTGAGCTGTATTCCTATTCCTACGATCAATCACCTTCAATGGACATAAAAAGAGCAGAGTCGGCAACAGCTCGCTCAAACAATCAACCCATTTAACTTTAAGACATAAAAATTCAAGGCAAACTATCAACTCTCCCAATACAAGTGAACAAGTGAGAAATTCACAATCAGGAAATTAAGCTGCAATCCGGATGAGCGAACTCACCTTTTTGGACAAAGACTCTCTGGAAGGCGTCTTGGTATATACTATTGAACCCCGCCGCGTAAAAGAACTGCTGGCTTTCCTGTCCTGAACCACATCAAGGTTAAACAAATAGAAAGGACCCAAATATCTCAATACAGCAAAAGCCCTATTTATAGGTAAGAAAGCTGCGAAAGGTTCCTAGGCCTTCAAAGAGATCCAAATCCTAACTCTGCCCTAATCCCATTAGCATTACCAAGGCTCCAATTCTGAATTTTCCAATTCAACTAATCGCCATTGAACCCAGAAACAGTTGAAAGAATCCTCTAGAAAAAGAAATGGAGAAATCGCATGAGAGAGAGAGAGAGAGAGAGAGAGAGATGGAAATTACGATGAGGGACTGAACAAGAGGGACGATCTCGACCAGATCGTTGAAGAGAACACGATGGAGGTTGCCATTTCCACCGCCATTGGAAGTAGATGCGGCGGCGGCACAGTGGGCGGCAATCTGGGAGCTGGTTAATTGGGAGTGAGTTGGGGAAGAGTTTGGAGGACCAGAAAGCCACGATTTGGAGTCCTCCCCGAAACTTGGATCCCCTCGCAAATCCACGAAATTATGCGGATCGAACATGGCTGTTGATCTTGTAGGACTCTGTGAAATCTTGCTTGCGATAAGAAAAAGGTACTCGACAGATGGAAACGAGAATGCTGCCTGCGTATGGAATGGTACTGGAATTACTGGAGCGAAAAAAGGTAGCACAAGTGGAAGTTGGGGATGAAAGAGAAGAGAAGAAGACTTGTTTAGCCACTGAATTTTGAATTCCCGACCCTAGTCCCGGATTGGATTTTACTCGATCCATGGTTGTAGAAACCATACCGACTGTTCGGTTCGACCGGAAAAATCAAATATTGGACTCTGGATTGAAATGATAAGGACTTCTTACAGTAACTTGGGTATAATTTCAAGTTAGATAATTTGTAGAGATCTAAACGGTTAAAATCGATCAAATTTATTTTAAATCATTAATTAAAAAAATAAAAAAAATAAGTAAATAATCAATGGCAACAAGGGTTGCCGGCAAGTTTGTCAACCCGCGGGCTGACCCGGACCCGGTCGAGCTAGTGGGTCAAGGGCTAATGGGTCACCTATTTTAGTCTGGTTTAGCCGGGAAGTATGAAAAGAGTCATTATATTGTACTTATCCTCATAAATTATATCAAATCTCATCTAACATGAGTTATAACATATAATATGCCACCAAAATAACATGTCTTACTTAGATCCAACAAATAGTGAAAATTCACACACACTTATATAACATCAATATTCAAATGTTCAACTTAGAATTCTGAAAATTGAGTTAGGCGAAAAGAAAAATAAAAAAATAGGCGCATTCTGCAAACCAAAGAAAAAAAGGATAAATTGCAAGATTGGTCACTGAGATTATAAAAAACGTTCATATTTAGTCACTACAAATATTTAATTCCATTAGTGGTCACCAAAATTAGTTTGATAGTTCATGTTTGGTCACTCTCCGTTACCTTCCGTTAACCTCCGTTAACACCGTCAATTATTTGCTGACATGTCTAACAGAAATGCTTAGTCACCCAACTTTAACAATAAAATAATATAAAATAAACTGCCACGTCAGAAGCCCACCACGTCAACCCATTTAACTGACCCAACCCAACTCTGCCCACTGAACCGACGCCTCTTATTATTTTACCCCTTCCTCATCTCGGCTGTTGTCCTGCGGCCATCTTCACCACCCTGCCCCTCTCTTTCCACCCCAGCCGCCACCAGTCCACCACCTCCTCCACCGCAGCTATTCCTCCACCCCTTACAAAGTTGAAAGTGCAAGACAACAATCCCAATCAACAAAAGTTGTCCATTCAAAATCAGCCCATCCAAACCTCACTAAATACCCAACATCAATTACACGAATAGAGCATCCAAACCAAAACATGGATAAAACCCAGGAAATTGAAAAAGGGAAACTGAGACTAATTAATAGGAAGTTTCCTCCAACCCTTCCTTTGCTAGTGGCGTCGCCGCCTCTATCCTCCTCATGTTTCCCGTCCTTGGAAGGCTTGGCAACGGCGGCGTTGCCATTGGAAACGGGACCAGGCCCCGGCTCGTCCAACACCGTCCGGATCTCTTGGGTAGGGCGATTGATGATAGGAGTTGGGGAGTGGAATCGGCGAGGAGGGAAGAAACGGGAGACGAGCAGACCACGATTGGGGATACGTTTGGCGATCTTCTTCTATCGATTCACCAGTGGTGGTGGTGGTGGTGGATTTTGCGGCACAGTTGGACTCTGACGAGTGAAGGTCATCATATTTCTAAGGTCTTCTTCTCCGATTGGAAATGTGGCGGTGAGGGCGAGCTCAGAGAGGGATTTGGACTTGGATGAGGCTGATGTTGTATTGGACGGAGTTGGGGAATGGTCGGTGACCTCGTGGCAGGCGGTGTTGAGGGCGAGCTAGGAGAGGGATTTGGGTTCGGAGGAGGAGCCAGAGGCGGCGACAATGTTGAACTTGGAGGAGGAGCTGGCGACGGTGAGTTATTAGGGTTTTTTGGTCGGGTCAAATAAAGGAAGAAGATGACGGGTTGGGTCACTGGTTGGGGTGGGTATATCATGTGGCGGGTTTAGCTGATTGTACGGGTCGGGTTTCATTTTTTTATAATTTAAATGGGATGAATCAGCACTTCTGTTAGCCACGTCAGCAAAATATTGACGGTGTTAACGGAGGCTAACGGAAGGTAACGGAGAGTGACCAAACATGAACTATCAAAATAATTTTAGTGACCACTAATGGAATTAAATATTTGTAGTGACTAAACATGGACGTTTTTTATAATCTCAGTGACCAACCATGCAATTAACCCAAGAAAAAAATGACACAATTTGACCTCCAACCCGGTACCTTGTAGCGGTCGACCCACCGAGTGCGTGCGGCCCATTTTTCTCACCGGGCCATGGTCAAAGTGGGTCGACCCGCAGGTCAATCCGCGGATTAACAATCTTGGTTGCCGGTCAACACCTTCTCAATTTACCTTTTTTATTTTTTTCTTTCCTTTTTCACATTTAGTTGATTTTCCTTATTTTATCCTTTCCGTTTTTTAATTCTTATGGAATTAGAAGCGTTACGTAAGACTTCCGTAATAACTTAGAGATCGTTTGGTGAACATGATTTATGATATGGATTCATTAAACCTAGAGATTTAAAAGAAAGCCTTGTTTTTTTGCCACTATTAACCTATCAGAATTTACGTTTTGGTATTTCAAATCTCTGAAAAATAGAGATATCAAATCTCTCTAAATAGTAGAGATTTTGAATCAATAATCTACCGGAAAAAAGTTCCCAACAAATTCCTTATTTTCCTGCTATTATCTCTCTCCTTAACCTTCTCTTTTTTACCG